TTCCTGAGATATGGTTTTTGGTCCATAAGTGGGCGACGCCACGCCCATTTTCAATTTTTGAAGAAAGCCTGGGTGCAGTTTTAAGACTTACAAACAACCGTTATGTGAACAAAACTATAATACTCTCTTTAGTAACTTTGTTGCGAGAGTATAATGAGAAGGAAATAAGCTATAATCGTAACAACCGTCACAAAGCAAAAAGTTTCTATACAAGAACATAATTTGGATCGGTCGGTTTGTATGGCAGATACATGCAATAGTTCTGTGATCTGAACAATTCGGAGTGTAGTAATGTTTGGGATAATATCCATGCCACATTTTCTCAATTAAAAAAGTTTTCCATACAAGACCTTAATTTCGATCGTTCAGTTTATATGACAACTATATACTATAGCGATACGATATTGACATTCCGAAAAATGAGCAGCTGTTTGAGGTAAAAAAGGATATGCGTACTTTCTGAGCGATATCTAAAAAATTTGACGAATTTGCAGATTTGCTACCTGGACACAGCAACCATGCTTACAATAGAATATAATATTAGTCTAATATATGTTGTTGAGCAATACGAAGAGCTCCATAAGAATCGGGAAGGACCCCTCCGTTCCATTCGATTTCAAATGACGTTTCAGGCAATTCGAATCTCTATCGTGCGACTTCTTCAATCTGCATCTGGAGAAAATAATTCGGTCTGCAGATCTAAATAGAAAAGATATAATCTTCCACAAGACAAAGAAGCGAAGCTATTGAGTTTGGTAGTGAATGAAGATTGACGAAATATTTCCTGTCATCAAACAAACAGTCGTCGGAATCGCGACTTGGCTGCCACATCACCGTTTATAGTCATAATTTTGAAGTCATAGATAATTTCGTCTATCTTGGAACCAGTATTATCACCACCAACAATGTCAGCCGGGAAATGGAACACACGATAACACTTGCCAAAAGGTGCTACTTCGGATTGAGTAGGCAGATAAAAAGTAAAGTCTCTCTCGGCGAACCAAAACCAAACTCTATAAGTCACTCATAATTCCCATCCGACATAGTTCAGCGAATTAAAAGACAGCGGCTACGCTGGCTAGGTCATGTCGTCCGAAACACTCCAGCTCTGAAAGTATTCGACGCAGTACACGCCGGAGGAAGCAGAGGAAAAGGAAGACCTCCACTCCTTTGGGAAGGTCAAGTGGAGAAGGATAATTATATTAGCCAAAGAGTAAACTTTTGAATAAGTAATAAACAATGGCTTGGGCTCGCCCAAATAGTGTAGCCCTGTCAGTCATACAAATATTAGTTTAGTTAATTTTTTAAGGAATAAAAGGTTTAACGAATTATTTTATTTATCTGGAAAATATTCACACTATTGAAAATTTTAACACTTCAAAAAGAAAATTCTAGCGCAAAGAAGTTTTGATTAGCAGTACCATTTCAATAAATTCTTCGTTATATTTCTGGAAATTCTTGCTTCCTCCCACCTATTTTTTGGTGAAAATACAAAAAAAATTTTTGTAAATCTTGTTAGACCTATCAACTACAGGAAAAATATATATGTATGTATAAATCATCACGGGAAAAAATATCGAAGCTTTGACAAAATCGAAAATAATATTCAGTTAAAATATGAATACTTTGGTAATTACTTGCATAGCTTTCCCTGCAGCCAAAACTTTAATCGATCAAACCGAAATTATTATATTACTTTTCAACTGAACTCAGTTGTATTGAAGTAAAAGCAACTCAACTCTTTTTAGTATTATGAACCTCAACTATTTTGAGACACAGTTTCTTTGGTGCTGCCAGCCTTAAAAATGAAGATTTGACAAAGAATTAAACAGGTAAACAAATTTAACGAAAAATCAAAATAATTCAATTCACTTATTGTTGGTAAAAATGTGAAAATTTATTAAAGAGAACATTCGTTTTAACTTATATTAGGATGAAGAAAAGGGTGGGTGCAAACTGATGCGCTGCATATGAAAAAGCTTTCGTGGTCACCCAAATCCAGTGACACTTCCTCACCCAAGATATATTGACAATTAATTAGATTTTTTTTTTTGTGAAAGGTGAAGTAATGATTATATTACGATTATTTTCAGATTCGGATGATTACTAATTGATTACGATTACAGATAATCGGAAAATAGTCAAGATTAATAAAAATTTCGAAAAAATAATCAAAAATAATAAAAAGTAATCGATAAGTAATTTGACTACTTACGAAGATTACTTTTGATTGTTTTCGATTATTATTATTTTTTTTTTTGCGAAATTATGGCACTAGTGTTTCATGTTACTACTGGTGTTCATCGATTTGATAATTGATAACCTGTTGCATTCTTCTTGATTCTGTATTTTGTACAAAGTATATACTTCTCTTCGTATATTTTTTTGTGAGTGTTACGTTACATTTTACATACTTGTTATCAGGGTTGGGCATAGTACAATAAAAAATAAGTACAACAAGGTTTCTATTTCTTCAGTGGTAGTTAAACAGCAAAATCCATTATCACTGAAAATTTAGTGATAGTGGAAAAAATGTCATTCTCACTAAGCCTTTATTCATATTGAAAAACAAATTGCACTACCATTAAAGGKTTAGTARTAGTGAACACCTTTAGTTATAATGAACATTTTTCAGTAACATAACACTGTTTCTTAAAGAATAAAAATAATACTACGTATGTATATGTATAAGCTGAAGCAGTATGAGGAAATGTATTCAAAATAAACCATATATTTGAGTAGAGACTTCTAATTAT